CATAATCCTTGGAATAAAGAGTTTAATATATTAGGAGAACATGTTACAGAACCAGAATTGAGACAAGGATCAAGGAGATAACATCTTGACCAGACTTTAGTATATCTTGTCTAAAAAGATTCTTTAAATATTTAAACTTTAAAACTCATGTTAAAATCTATATCTAAAAGATCTAGGACCATTAGTCACTTCTACTTGCTTTGCCAAAGTGGTCACATTGATTTAATGTCTTCAATGGGCATGTATGGACGTGTGGCCAAACAAACAAGTCTGTTGGAGTTGGGACCTTGTCCCTTAAAATTTTAGTTTTACTGTGAGCCAAAACAAGATGGGCTAATTTCACATCAGTTTACGTGACGCTTACTTAGAAGCCAATTTGATACCAAGTAAAATATTTATCTTTTAAACCTAAACTCATGTAGACGGTGCATTCATATACAGTCATATATAACAGATTTTAGCAACCAAGATCTTGTTTAATTATTTTTTGCTGAGAGTACATCTGTAATTTTCATTATGAAAAGGAAATTTAATACAAAGATCTTTGGAAAACCTGTATATCCATTGTTTTACAGGTAGTCTAGCTTTAGTAAAACCTTACATTTAATAGTTTCATATTAAGAATATTTTTGAAAGAAATGATTGTTCCCTGTGACTGTTACACAATTGGAATAAAAATTTAATGTATATATATTTAGAACCTGTTTTTGAAGGAAATCCTAATCAAAAATCTATGTATGTAATGTTAGATTTTATAATTTACTGAAATATTTATCTTACAATTTTAATGAATGCCATTTTATATAAACAATTAGCATTTAAAAGTTTTGTGAAACAATAGGTCCAAAGTTATTATTTAGTAGGTTTTTTATTTTTTTTTTGTCTTTTTGAGACAGGGTCTCCCTGTAGTCCCAGCTTTCCTGGAACTCACTATGTAGACCAGGCTGGCCTTGAACTCACAGAGATCCACCTGCCTCTGCTTCCCAAGTGCTGGGATTAAAGGCGTGTGCCACCACGCCCGGCAGAGGATGTGTAGAGCACTCAAGTTTATAAAACAGTATGTATTTATCAGGCCTTTTAATACATTAGCAAAATACATTTATAACCTGCACATGTGCATTTTAATCTTGCCAAAATAATAGTAATAATAATGATAATAATAATTCTTGTGCACAATAAAAATAATGAGAAAGGAAAAAACTGAAGTGGCCACAGTTTAAAAAACTGTCTTGCTGGGCATGGTGGTGCACACCTTTAATCCCAGCACTTGGGAAGCAGAGGCAGGTGGATCTCTGTGAGTTCAAGGCCAGCCTGGTCTACATAGTGAGTTCCAGGACAGCTGGGGCTACAAGGAGACCCTGTCTCAAAAAGACCGAAAAAAAAAAAAAAACAAAACCAAAAATAAAACTGTCTTGACACAAACTACACATGAAAACAATTATCAAAGACACACAACACAATTATGTGAAATCCAGGTGCACCAAAGAGTGAGAGAAGGCAGAAGGCTTACATCTCTAGTTCTTTAATATGTAAAAAAAGACTTAGTGGCCTAAAAGAAAGGGTGAAGTTTGCCATGTAGAGTTAAGATAATATCTTTCTCTCCTTTTAAGAGCTAAATAAAAGAAGGGTATTATAAATAAAACCCAAGATCCAAGATCTAAGAACCCTATCAATACCTCACAAAATACATGTGGACAAAGCAATAGTAACTTGGCAAAGCAGATTTTACTTTTGCATAAGGGTTCGTTGCATGGTCAGTCAGATCCAGTTTAAAAGAATCTGCTTAAAGAGAGTAGAGCTCAGCTGCCCCAGGCCATCAGGTTCAGGAATGTATTAGGATCTTCCCTTAAACAAAAGTCTTACAAGATGTGGTGGGATTAAAAGATTAGAATTTCTTGTCATAAACCAAGTTCTAAGTTTTATAGGTTTTGAAATAGAAGACTAATATTTAATGTTTCTTTCAGGGGGCAGTGCCTTTATATATGAAACCAGTAGAGTTCCTCTTGTCTAAGCTATTAGCGTAACATAAATCAGGCAACATAACATAAATCAGAGGTGACAAGACAAACAGTAAAGGAAACATTAACATACATCTTTGATCCCAGTACTTGGGAGACAGAGCCAAGCAAATCTCTGTGGAGTTCAAGGCCATGTCTCAAAAAAAAAAAAAAAAAAAAAAAAAAAAAAATTTTTTTTAAAAAAAAAAAAATTTAAAAAAAATTTTTTTTAAAAAAAAAAAATGTAGTTATCTCATTTTGTCTTAGGAGGCAAGAGACTGGCTTAGGCCTTCTTAGGGGGTCAGCTTTTTTCATGTACCCCAGAAAAAACCACATACTGACCCAGGTACCAGACTATAAATCAGTCTATGAGATTTTTTAAAAAACATTTTATTTATTATTTTTATTTTATGTGTATGTGTGTATTGCCTGCATGTAGGTAAGTACACCCATGTCATGCAATGCCCACGGAGGACAGAAGAGGCTGTTGGAGCCCCTGGAACTGGAGTTACGGACAGTTGTTAGCTGCCATGTAGGTGCTGGGATTCGACAAAAACAGTCAGTGTTCTTAACTGCTGAGCGATCTCTCCAGTCCCCGAGTCTATGAGATTTGTAAGTGGGATTTGGCCAGAAAAATAGAAGTAAAGGAATCCAAATTGCTTAGCAGGGTAGATCATACAGATAACAGATTAGAAACTCACCAACAATGCTTCAAGATGGATCTTATGAGGAGTGCCCAGAGACTTTAGGACTGACTGAGACATAGCTGTCACGTGGTCATTAGGAGCCTAAGGAGTTCTCCTAAGCGTTGGAGAACTCTACTCAGGCCAAACCAACATTCCTGGCTTCAAATGTTGAAGGGAATTTTAAGAATAGCTGTATAATAAAGACAATTTTTAATGTAGACTTTCCATGAACGTTAAGGACAAGAGTTGCTCAAGGGACGAGACAATGAGATATATCCAAGCTTCCTGGAAGAATAGTATTCTTTCTTCAAACAGGCTATAATCTCTTTACATATAGAGCTTTGTGTTAGGAGATAAAGAATTTACAATTTATTCTTTAATTCATCAAAGGGGAAGTATTTATCTGAAGAAATGTGTCCTTGTTAAGTTCCTGTATAACCATATTTAAAAGCGTCTGAAACATCTATTTTATTTACCTATGAAAGTCATCTTTGAGTTGGATTAGGCTCCATTGAAGGTTCACTGCCATGGAGTGAACAAAAGTATTTATTTATCACATAGGGGAGTTATAGCAGCAGCCTGGAGTCACTTCTTGTCCCTCTGATTCCTAAGCTGGGATTGGCAAAGTAGGACCCACTGTCCAACTTAATAAATTAGCTTGCTTATTTATGTATGACCATGATCTAAGAGTGGTGTTCACAGATGGACAGTTGCAATTGATACCAAAACACTAACTGAACAGCAAGAAAATGAAATGTTACCTCCTCCAAATAATTCCATTTTTTCTTATTTCTCTCTATTACAAGGATTACACTAATTTATAATTAGTAAAAAAAAATCACGGAAACTGGTTTTCTTATATAAACACATTACATGATATGCTTAATTTTGTCTTGAAAAGAAAGCAGAAATGGTTTGATTGGGTGCTGGCAGTTTTAGAGCAAGAAGTTTAAGGGGGAAGCCTGCTTTCCCAGTGCTTGCTGCTTTACCAAAGGTGTTGGCTTTTCTCTGGCGCCTGAGTGTGATGGCTGCTGTTCAGGTATACCTGCAGGCAGTTCTTGAGTGCTTGCATTTCCTGTATTTCAAGTTTTATAGAGATTTGTTCTTAATATTATTTGTGTTATGAATTATTTTCAGATAATGCAGTAAAATGAGAGGCTAGATATAATTTTTGATATTGATAGAGTTCTGTACTAAACTGTGTGTGTGTGTGTGTGAGTGTGTGTATGTGTGTGTGTGTGTGTGTGTGTGTGTGTCTAAGACATGGCCTCCAGGTATAGCCGAGGTTCATCTAGAACTTAGGATCCTGCTGCCTCAACCTCCCTGGTGCTGAGATTGCATATGTGTGATACTGAAATTATCTTAAGTTGCACTTTTATCACTTAGTTATTCCTTTTGTTTTCTTTCTGTCATCTTTGAGAACATATTTAGAGGTTCTAGCAAGAGAGCATAGCTAAACCTTACACCCTTGGTGGAGTGGTCCTCTGCCATCTGGGAAGTTTATCAATTCTTTGACTGAGGGTACAGTGTTAGGTGTGATGAACATGGAGTGATGAGGGAAGAAAGGGGTTCTCATCTAGCCAATTAGATCAGCCAAATCAGCCCTGGGGATCAAAGGAGTGACAGTTGAAGCCAGAGTGTCCTCATGTCCTGTTTTCTTCTGTCTTTAAGGTATATTGATGGTGTACACCTGGGAGGCAGAGGCAGGAGGCCAGCCTGGTCTATATAGTGAATTCCAGGCCAGCTGGGGCTACAGGGAGACCCTGTCTCAAAAAACAAAGCCAAAAAATTTAGAATGTATTGCAATTGCTTTCATTCTGCCTTCATGTTTTTTTCATAGATTTTAAATTATAAAGATAATATAATTTATAATATCTTAAACTAGGGTTGGCATGCTGCACAATTGTACAAGTGGGGCACTCAACAAAATCTATGCCTAACTAGTCTAGAGTTTTAAAGTCAGCAGTGTTTTGTGTTCATGTAATTGGAAAGTATTGTTTGGCCTTTTTATGGTGGGGGGGGCTGGGTTGAGACAGGTCTTCCTGTAGCCCTAACTGGCCTGGAACTTGCTTATGTAGACCAGGCTGGTCTCAAACTCACAGAGATCCGCCTGCCTCTGCCTCCCAAGTGCTGGGATTACAGGCATGTGCCACTATGCCTGGTGAAAAGTATTGTTTGGAAATTGAATTTTAGATGTTATGTTTAAAAAAAATGGTGCTGCAAATTGGAAAGCATTCTGGACTATAACTAGTTGATTAGTTTAGGGATACATCTATAATATATACTAAATAATATTTTTGTTGCACATATTTTCCAGAAAATGTCAGTTTACTCTTCAAGCTCTACTGCTTGGCAGTGATGACCCTGGTGGCTGCAACTTACACCATAGCTTTAAGATACACCAGGACAACAGATAATGAACTTTACTTTTCAACCACAGCCGTGTGTATCACAGAAGTTATAAAGTTACTCCTAAGTGTTGGACTTTTAGCTAAGTAAGTAAAAATACTTCTAGAGTGGGTATGTATTGTATGCCTTGGGCAGCCCTTTAAAGTACATGACTATCTGACCCTGAATGGCAGCAGCATTGCTGCTGAAGAACTCTTCTACAGCAGGGTTGGCAAACAGTGGTCTGTGTTCCAAATGTAGCTTGTTGTTGGTTTTTGTTGCAAAGAAGACTGTATTTCTCACAGAGCCTAAAATATTTGACCCTTACAGAAGAAAAATTATTGATCTGTTTTAGAAGGATATACTGATAATAAGCATTTCATGGGTGCTTCCTATATTAAGTGCTAGACACTGTGCTAGGTGTTTTCCACTAATTATTTCATTTTTATATATTTTAGGTATTATCTGTTTAATTAACACAGCATATGAGGTACCTCAAAATTATACTGTTAACACTGGGCTTTGACTCAGTAACCCCATATAAGAATCATTCTAGATGATGGTACAATAAAAGAGAGGGGTGGGATAAGAGCTTCTAAGTAAAAGAGGCTTAATTCTATTTCTGGGTTCACAGTATAGTATTTAATATCTTAAGTTTAGCTTTTTCATCTTTTTCACTGGAGAAAATAATATAGAGTGATGAGAATTAAATAAAATCCTGTTAGTAAATGACTTGGGGGAGGGAGAGTCATGAGATGAGGACCTACTTGAGTCACTGGGGCAGTTTTATTATGTGTGCTGGTAAGAGTGGGGAACAGTAAGTAATGGCATGTGTGGGCTTTTATGTAGAAATAGGCAAATTACATTTAAATATTTCCAAACTCATTTCATAAATCTTTGTTCAGCAGTTTTCATGTGACACCTTTTTGGTGGTGTTTTTTTGAGATAGGGTCTTCCTGTAGCCTCAACTGGCTGGGAACTCACTATGTAGACCAGGCTGGCCTGGAACTCACAGGCTGGCCTCTGCCTCCTGAGTGCTGGGATTAAAGCCATGTGCCACCATGCCCAGCTCATGACTTGTTGCTACTGCACTATGCTTTTTTCCAGGCTCTTTCAGCAGACAGAGCTAGGAAATGTATGCCCATGCATACAGATATACCTATGTATGTCCATTTCTCTGTATGTATATAATAGTTATATATTGATACCGACAACTACAACAAGCAACACAGGGCTTTTGTTTCCTTCTCCAACGTTGAGTTTAGCTTCTGTTATCCTCAAGACAATTACTAATTTACTTAATCCTAGAACATGTAAATAGATAAAGAATTTCTGGGCAAGATGGCTCAGTGAGTAAAAGTGCTTGCTGCCAAGTCTGATGACTCAGATCTGATCCCTGGTACCCATATGGTGGAAGGAGAGCATCAGTTTCATATAAGTTGTCTTCTGACCTCCACACGAGCACTGTGGCATGTACCCAAATGCATGCTCACACACAAAAGTAAATAAACGTGATTAACATTTTTAAAAAAAGAATTTCTAATATATACTCATGGGAAAAATATCAAGCTTATTAAATCTTAGTAATTTGTATGTAGTTCTTTTTGCTATAAGTTTTAGAACATATAATAATAGTTAAGATGCTTGAGTTCTCTTTTCCTCTTAAGTATAATCTTCTTTTTTTTTTTTTTTTGGTTTTTTTTTGACAGGGTCTTCCTGTAGCCCTGGCTGGCCTGGAACCCACTATGTAAACCAGGCTGCCCTTGTTTTGTTTTTGAGACAGGGTCTCCCTGTAGACCCAGCTGGTGGCCTGGAACTCACTATGTAGACCAGAGACCAGGCTGGCCTTGAACTCACAGAGATCTGCCTGCCTCTGGGCTCCAGTCCTGGGACTAAGGGTGTGCACCACCATGTCCTGCTATAATTTTCTTATATACACTTACAATAATTGGAATCCATCATTCTTATTGATTTTACTTATAGTTTTCTAAGATGTTTGGAATATGAAATACTTATTTTGATCAAAAACTAGAAAAGAAGAAAAGGAGGGCTGTGTGGAGGAATTAATGGATGGTACTTTGATAAATAAGGCTTATGTGGTTTAATTGATGAATTTTAGTTATATGCAAGAGACTGCTAGGCACTGAGTATGAATACCTATATATTGTGCTTTTCTTTTTTTATACCTAAATGTTTTTTATTATCATTTTTCATACTTAAATGCTTCTTGTCAGTACATAGAAATCTTTCTTTTTCCAAGCTGCATGGTATTCCACTACTTAGGTGTACTATATATGCTAATCTGTGTTCACAGGAAAAGAAAAAAAAAGCTGTTTAATTTTCTGCCTCATCATTCTTATCTCCCTTTTTGTTTTCAAAGAGAAACTGGTAGTTTGGGTAGATTTAAGGCATCTTTAAGTGAAAACGTCTTGGGGAGCCCCAAGGAACTAGTAAAGTTAAGTGTGCCATCACTGGTGTATGCTGTTCAGAACAACATGGCTTTCCTAGCTCTTAGTAATCTGGATGCAGCAGTGTACCAGGTAAGTCAAAATAAATAATATGAAAAACTCTGAATTAAAAAAAATATATTTTTCCTGGTCTTCATAGCAAGTTCTGGCTACATAGTGAGATCCTGTCTCAAAGCAAAGAAAAGGACCCTTGATTTGAGGTTGGTTTTTGGGGGGGATCTTTTGGACTCAGGGTCTCCCTGTAGCCCCAATGGGCCTGGAACTCACTATGTAGACCAGGCTTGCCTCAAACTCACAGAGCCTGCCTCTGCTTCTGGAGTGCTGGGGCGTGCACCACCATGCCCAGCTGAATATATATGTATATATATAGGTACAAGTGTATTGCCTGCATGTATGTGACTGTACCCATGTCGTGCAATGCTGCAGAGGTCAGAAGAGGGCTTCAGATTCTCCTGGAACTGGAGTTAAGGATGGTTCATAGCCTCCATATAGGTACTGGGAATCAAACCCGGGTCCTCTGCAAGAGCAGTCAATGCTCTTAACCTCTGAACTATACATATATTTTATGGAGTAAAAACTCTTATTAATTCTTTACTGTATTACCAAGTATTTTATCAATTCTGTTAATGATATAATAATATATTTATGTCAAAGACTGACATAAGATTAATTTATATTTGTACTTTGTTTTTAGGTGACCTATCAGTTGAAGATTCCCTGTACAGCTTTATGCACTGTTTTAATGTTAAATCGGACACTCAGCAAATTACAATGGATTTCAGTTTTTATGCTATGTGGTGGGGTCACACTCGTACAGTGGAAACCAGCCCAAGCTACAAAAGTTGTGGTAAGAAACAAAGTCATACCATAACTAAAATAGGGAACTTGCTATCTTTCCTTTTTCTTTTTTTTCCCTTTTGGTCTTTTCGAGATAGGGTCTCCCTGTAGCCCCAGCTGGCCTGGTACTCACAGAGAGCTGCTAGCCTCTGCCTCCCAAGTGCTGGGATTAAAGGCATGTACCACCATGTGAAACTTGCTGTCTTTTAAAAATATTTTTATAGCCGGGTGTGGTGGTGCACACCTTTAATCCCAGCACTCCAGAGGCAGAGGCAGGCGGATCTCTGTAAGTTCAAGGCCAACCTGGTTATGCCAGCTGTGGCTACAAGGAGACCCTGTCTCAAAAAGACAAAAAATAATTTTTTAATTTTGATTTTATGTGTATGAGTGTATTGCCTGCATATATGTAAGTGCACCCATATGGTGCAGTGCCCTCAGAGGTCAGAAGAGGGCATCTGATCCCCTGGAACTGGAGTTACAAATGGTTGTTAGCTGTCATGTGGGTGCTGGGAATCAAACCTGGATCCTCTTCAAGAGCAGCCAGTCTTTTAACCACTAAGCCATCTCTCTAGTTTGGAAACTTGCTATCTTACAACACCTTAGTCTTGTGCATGTCAGTCACTGTGATGCAATACAGAATAATTACGTCTGATTTAAAATTGCACTTGGCTTTATAGATACGCTTTTCCCCTTTAACATTATATAATTATTGATAAGAAAGTTATTATTGACTTTCCTTAGACCAAATTTATTAAAATTTATTAGAAGATAACCTGCACAGTCTATTCTACCCATTTTGTTTTATGGATGACCCATTAAGGTCCAAACAGGTGAAGCAATGTGTGCAAAGAGAGCTAAACTTTGACTAAATCTCTGCCAGCCTCTACATAATGTACATGTTCACAATTTCTAGGCTTTTTCAGTTATCTTTTGGAAATGCTGGGCAAGGTTTCCTCCATCTAGTTTTGATTGTCCCTCAACTTATAGTCTCTTATCCTTTGCAGTATGCCCATTGTTAGTGATAGGGATAATACTAGAGCAGTATTCTGATATGAATATGAAAATGGGACAAAAAATGCGCTTTACTTAATGGTTTCAACACTGAATGTTAAGGTATTTAACCTATTTTTTTGAGAATACTGTAAGCTTCTATCAGTTATTTCTCCAAAGAGAAGTATAAAGTGGAACTCTAGTTAGTGAGTGAGTTTTACCAAGGTCAGGGGTTTCATTTATACCAAATATTCTCCTCAAGGCTTAGCAAAGGGGCCATGGTTCTCTTAGGAATAGATGGCAACTGGGAATTAGCATTTGTAAATGTAGTGAGTCTGCTCATTTTAAATACTTACTCTTTAGCTTAGAAGAGAAATGTTTGTTTTCAGATGAGCATTTATTGCTTTTAGATGATGTGGAAACATGTTCATATGCTTGGTGACATTTCAAAATATGTATCAAATATGTACTACACATTTAATTCAGTTATAGACTTAAGAGAAGTATTTTTTTTTTGATAAGTCAAACACTGAAGTGTTAAACTTGAGTTTAAGTAAAACCTCACATCATTTGGAAGAGTGTTGGGTCTGCTCACAAAGTATACGTGAAAGCTGTCAGCTAGAACAGAGTAAAGCAGCTTATCCTACCTTGGGCCACTCTAGAAAGCCTTTTTGTACTCTAACAGAATGCAGCTTCCTGTAACTACCTTTCATTTTTCTTTGTTCTTGTCATAACAGTTCAGCTCCCTACCAATGCCATAGAATGAACTTATGAATGAGGATAATGTCATATCCCTACCCTCCAGGTGTCTGTCCCCTCTCTCCAATTAAACAACTCTATTATTGCTTTCTGTAGTGTGATTTCTAGACAGAAACTTCCTGAGCCCTACCTCAACACTTTGTCTCGTATTTTACCTCTGAATGCATTGGTCTGGAATTGTTACATAGTGTGTCCTAAAATTGCATACTAGCTCCAGAGTTACCTGAGTAGTGTCAGGTATAACTTGATTACTCTGTTGATTTCTTAAGTCAGCACATGATTATATTAGTTTTGGGAGAGCAAGCTATCCATTTTTAATTGATTATATACAATGCATGCCACATCAATACATCTTTTCTTGAATTTCCTATAGAGCTAGTTTATTTTAAACCAGTATTTGCATTTAAACTCATCTTGTTAATTTTGAAGTTCTTACTGCTCAGGCCCTTGGTTTCTATTTCTTATCCATTGTTAGCTTTCTTTTGAGTGTTATGCTTTCTGGAGTGAACACGTGTCTTCATTAAAATTTTTATAACAGACCAGAGTCTGTGGGATATACCACTTTTAGACCTCTCTCTACTTCTTGCTTACTAAAACATCTGTCCTTAATAGTTTTCATGGGTCAGTATTTGAGGGTCCCTCATCTAAGTGATTCTGGCTTGAGGCCTCTTACTACAATTGTAATGAAGCTATTGTTTAGTCAGCTGAAGGCTTGACCCATCCTATGTGTGGACAGCACTTTCTGATGGCAACTCAGAAGGAAACTTTGCTTTCACTGGCAAGTTCATCTATTCTTCTGTTGCCATTGCTATATTCCTTTGCTGATATTAGAGCCATCCTTTTCTGGCTTCCAAGGTACACTGAGGACCAGCAGCTCTCTAGGAATCCTCCATGCCTTAAACGCCAGATTAGAACTGATGAAGCATTTAGGCTTGTGGACTGAGCAACTACTGAATTCTCAGCCTTTCCAGTGTGAGAAAATCATTGTTGGACTACCCAAACTATATCATGTAAGCCAATCTAACGCATTTCCCTTTAATATATATTCATTCTATCAGTTCTGGTCCTCTAGAGAACTCTAATACAGAAATTGGTATCAGGGAAGTGACCGACCTGACCATTTGGTTTCATTTTTTGTGGACCTTTTTGTTGGAGGACTATGGAAGATTTTGGAACTTTGGGCTGGAAAAGCAGCTGAATGTTTAGAGCTTAATGAGCTGTTGTTATTAGAGCTTGGAAGATAGTGCTGAGAGAAATGTGGACTGTGTAGGCCTGACTCAAGAGGTTTCAGAAGGGAATAAGAACTTAAGAGTTGGATCATGGGCTGGTGAGATGGCTCAGTGGGTAAAGGCACTTGTTGCCAAGACTGACAACCTGAGTTTAGTCCCTGGAATCCATATGAAAAGACAGAACTAACTCATGAATGTTGTCCTCCATATGCACAACATGGCACACATATACCTCCTCAGACAAAATAAATACATGTAAATTTGAAAAAGAACTGGAATAGGGGCCATCCATGTGATAGTCTTACAAAGAATTTCTGTGTGCTGGTCATGGTGAACATAAAGCAGCAACTATGATTGTCAAAGATGTCAGCACCAGTGAAGTAAAACCTTTTGTGTTTCACTGGGACAACAGGATGCTTGTCAGTTGGGGCTGAAAAATCAGCTGTGATTAATAGGAGATCAGTAACACTGAGGTGAAATCTTCGGTGCATCATTGGGACAATTAGAAAGTATTTTCCTTAGGGTCAGCACACAGAAGCTGTGGAAGGCAAAAGCTCCAAGTCAGGCTGGCACCCAAATGTGGCAATGTATGAATTCCCACAGAGAACTGGCTTTCAAAGTATGAAAGCTGTAGGATTGAAGGGGTCATGGGGAGCAGCTGAAGCTTGGCACTGTGTAGAAGTCCCTGTGGAGAAGCCAGGAGAGGCCACTGGTGAAGGTGCAGCCTCAGTTGCAGTGGAGAACCCAGGATATTGGAGGTGCTAGGACTGTGGATGACCACCAAGGACAGAGGCAGGTGCGAGGTGGAGCAGGCTTATGTCTGAGATAAGCTATAGGTGCTGAGGATGGCAGGGTTAAGAGAAGTGTGACTGGCCAAGCCCTGTGGAGCTCAGAGCATTACATCACGAGTGAGCTCCCTGGTAGGAGGTAATACATGAATAGCAGTCCTGCTTTTGGGTTCTTGCTATGACCTTCCTCAAATGACAGACTGTGACGTGGAGGTATAAGCCACATAAACCCTTTCCTCCCCAAGTTGCTTTTGGTTAAAAGTGTTTTATCACAGCAACAGGAAGGAAACTAGAACAGTGTTCCTTCATATGTCTGACAGGCTGGTCTTGGTTGCTAGTCTAGCTTGATTTTTTCCCATTAGTATTTTCCGTATGAGAAATTATCCTTTTTTTTTTTTTGCATAAGAGGATTAATTTTATTGAATGACCATTCTGCTACATGTAAAGAACAACTCACATCTTTTTTTTGTTCCTTTTCTTTTGACTTGACCTGATTGTGGTAATACTTTTTCTTTTTCCTTCTCTTGTCTTGCTGTGATTTGAATATGATTATCCCCTCTGAAACTCCTGCTAAAATTTGAATGACATCATAGTGGTATTGTGAGGTACATGCTTTAAAAGGTGGTTATACCACTAAAAGACATTAATGCCTTTCTGACAGGAGTGAGTTTGTTTTCAGGAAGCAGGCTTCAGAAGAGTGGCTGCCTCCTGTGTTCTGTCTCTGGCACACACCCCTGCCCTCATTGTACTATCACCCTTGCTACATTTTTGTCTTGTCCACAAAGATATTGTGCATATCTGTCAGTTTTTAAATAATCTTTATTTTTATGTGTATGAGTGTTTTGCTTGCATGTATGTAAGTGCACCTTTGTTGTGCAATGCCTGTGGAGGCCACAAGAGGGTGTCAGATCCCCTGGAAGAGATCAAGTTATGGACAGTTATGAGTTGTCATGTGGGCGCTCAGAACTGAACCTGGGTCCTCTGCAAGAGCAGCCAGTGCTCCTAACTTCTGAGCCATCTCTCTAGCTTCCTGTCAGTTTTCTTGACAAACATTATCTCAGTGAAATTCCTCTCATTATTTAATTCTAAAAATCCTTCAGAAAGGATTGGTTTGCTTCATCTTTAGGTTAACACTATTTTCCCTTGATGACCATTAAATTTAAGTTCTTCAAGTCATCATTAAGTGTAAGATTTTGGAAATCAACAATAACAGTAAAATGCATATTAATTAATTCTAAGTGCTTTATGTATGCTAACTCACTTCCTGGCAAAAAGCTTTAATTAATATACAAAGCAATGCACTTCTTCATAGCATATCCATACATGTGTCAATCATTATACTTTGTTCTCATTCTTTACTCTCCTGCACTGCCCTCCCCCACACCCCTTGCCTTTCTTGCTACTTTCCTTCCTCAGGTATTCCCCCATCTGCCCATAAGCCTCCATGTCACATATATTCCATTCTCTCTCTGATAGAGGTTTTTTTATTTAGCTAGTTTTCTTGTTTGTTTTGTTTTGTTTTGCAGTGCTGGATATGGAACCCAGGATCATGTGCATGGTAGGTATATTAGTGTTCTCTAACGGAACAGAACTGATAGAATGGATACACACATGTAATATAGATAATATATATTAAAAAGGAATTTATTACATTGCCTTACACAGTACTGTCCAAGTAGTCCAACCATGGCTGTCTCACAGTGAAGAGGCCAAGAATCTGGTAGTTGCTTAGTCCACAAGGCTGGATGTCTCACCATTTCCAGTCTGGCACTGAAGTCCTAGATGATTCCTCAAGAGCTGTTAGTGTTCAGTCTACATTGGAACTTACAAAAGTTCATTCTAATAACAATGAACAAATGCCACAACAATAGGATGAACTTTCTGGCAAGAGTGAAGGCAAACAGGCAAAAAGCAAAGTTCCCTTCTTCCATGTCCTTTCATCAGGGCTCCCACCTGAAGGTGCTGCCCACATTTGGGGTGGGCTTCCCACTTCAGATAATCTGATCATGAAAGTCCCTCATAGGGGCTGGAGAGATGGCTCAGCAGTTAAGAGCACTGGCTGCTCTTGCAGAGAACCCAGGTTCAGTTCCCAGCACCCACATGGCAGCTAACAACCATATGTACTCTAGTTTTAGGGAATCCAATGCCATCTCCTGGCCTCCTCAAGGCATTGCATGCATGTGGTACACTCATACACATAAAATAAAAACAAATGAAAAACAACAACAACAACAACAAAAAGGAAAGTTCCTTATAGGAGTGCCTAGTGGACTGGATTCTAGTTGATTCCAGATCTGGTCAAGTTGACAACCAAAATTAGCCATCACAGGTCTACCCTTTGTCAACATAACACCCAATCACAGACTTGGTGAGTGTAAGTTCATTTTGTTGAGCCCTCCATCTCTGCCATCATCATGGCCACTTTGTTCCTGGGCCCATGGGGCACTGACAAGGATAGCTAGAGAAGAAGGCTGACTGTCCACAGAATGGGTCATTGTATTTATTTCTGCTGAAATCACCTTTTGATGAGCATTTACACAAGACAAAAGAATCTTCATGCACTTTGCCCATTTAGAGAGATCTTTCCACATATTTCTTCCCCACATGACTTTCTCACCAATTATCTAATCATGTTCCTTTCAACTCCTTGAATATCCAATGAAACCATTGGTTATAGCCCATCAATCAATATAGAATAACAGAATCTGGAAATTTTTTCTTCCAAGCAAAATGCACTGCCCAGTGTTTAGCTTGCTGTGGAGGTTTCCCTTCATGTGGAGGTGTCCTTCATGGTTGTCCTAAAAAGGAGCTGTAATGCTGAAGCTGTCCACTTCTGGGTTGGTTCATACACAGCATGTACAATCATCAGTAAATCAGGCCCTAATCTTCTTTTCCCCACTCTACATAGGACACACCCAATGAGACCATAGCATGCTTGGGAATAGAAGGTATTATTATTCACAGGAAATGGAAACTAGATTTGGGTAATTCTATTATCTTGCTGCCTAACAATACCAGTGTATGACAGCTCAGGAAACATTCCTTTTTCCTGAATAAACACATTTTTAAACACCTGTGCTTATTCTGAGCTTTCAATTAAAATACTATTTTATGTGTATAAGTATATTGCCTGCATCTAAATACACCCATCATGCAGTGTCCACAAAGTTCAGAGGACGGTGTTGGACCCCCTGGAACTGAAGTTATGGACAGTTGTTAGCTACCGTGTGGGTGCTGGGATCCAAACCCTGGTCCTCTGGAAGAGCAGCCAGTGTTCTTAACCACTGAGTCATCTTTCCAATTTGAGTTATCAATTAAAAAAATTTTTTTTCTTTTATGTGTATGAGTATTTGCCTGCATGGATGTGTGTGTGCCTGGTGCTGGTGGAGGCCAGAACAGGGAATCAGCTTGTTTTGTACAGATGGAGTTACATGTGGGTGCTGGAAACTGAACCCAGTTCCCCTGCAAGAGAAGCAAGTGCTCCTATCTGCTGGGCAGTCTCTCTAGCCGAGTTTTCAATTTCTTGGTTACAATTTCCTTGTTACATTTGTATTAGCCATCTTCAAATTCTGTTGTTCCTATAGTCAGAATACAATGAAGATGCCATAATTAGTCATGCATTCGTTGTCTTCTTTTAACTTCTCACCAAAACACTGTTTTTCATAGGTTGATAATCTTTGAACCATCTTTCCCACTAGCCATGGACTTCTAACCTTTGTCTTGCTGTTCTAAATTTTGATTTATTCAAGACTGGTGCACATGTTCTGTGCTGTTACTCCTGGTTGAGATAACATGGCTCTTTTCTTCCAAAGTTTCCCTCATGTCTACTTTATCATCTGTCCATTCAGAAAAGCAGTTTCCTTTAGTTTTCCAGGTCTAGAGAGTAAACTGGTAAGAAAGCAGCTCTTCTATTATTTTCAGCAGCTTGCCTGTTTCAGGTAGGACAGGTGAAATCTCATGCTATGATTTTTGTTCTTGTTTTTTAATCTATGTTAGTCTTATAGCGTAGTTGTAGGGTAGGAGTGGCTCTCAAATTTTAGTACATCAGATGCAACTATAAGTTCATTAAACCAGATTGCTGGCTCATCCTCATAGTTTGTGATTCAGTAGGTCTGGGATAAGGCCTGGCAGTTTTAATTTCTAATAAATTCTTAGGTGATGCTGATGCTGCTGGTTCAGGGACTGTACTCAGAGAACTACTGGTCTAGAGTGTCCTGTTTCTCCTTTTATCTTCATCTAAACAGTTTAGAGCAAGCTTTCTTTCTCAGGTACATGCTCTCCTTACATTAGTCTTCTTTCTTTTGAATAGGTTTATATATATCATTATATTACAGTCCTGAGTCTCAACACTAATTCCAGTGATACTATTAAGATAGTATTTACCCCTCAGGGAAGACAGATGAAACTCCTGAGAGTTTAGGGAAGAAAGAAAAGGAGAGCAAAGCAGTAGGTTAGGGCACCACATACAGGCAGCTATTGACACTTATTTCAGTTTTACTGTACACGTTGTCAATCTCCCCTATACAAATAACTGCTTAAGAACAATCTGAGGTATGTGTCGTTATTTTCATTGTCTGTTCAGTATATAGCAGTGATTCTGGTACGAAGAATTGTGGACTATTGGTACTTAATAAAAATTTCAAGGGCTGGGCATGGTGGCGTACGCCTATAATCCCAGCACTCAGGAGGCAGAGGCAGGCGGATCTCTGAGTTCGAGGCCAGCCTGGTGTACATAGTGAGTTCTAGGACAGCTGGGGCTACAGGGACACCCTGTCTCAAAAGAGACAAAAAAAATTTTTCAGTAATGTGTATAGTCTCAAAAGTGAGCATTTCATCTAGTAAGTTAAGTTGTTACATTTTCAGGACTGATGCTTTGAGGCTTAGATTAGGGTGGAAGCAGAAATTAAAATTAATAGGTCAACTATGTAAAACTCTGTGCTTGAGTACTTGGAAAGTGAGGTGTCCATATTAGATTGGTTGTCTTGGAGCTCACTATGTGGACCAGGATGGGCTCAAATTCAGAGAGATCTGCCTGCCTCTGCCTCTCAAGTGCTGGGATTAAAGGTGGGGCCACCATACTGGGCGGTAACATAAATTTTTGTATTCATGTTTGGATTGTTGGATTAATTCTTTTGCTATCACTAAAAGTAACTTAAAAATTGCAATTGCAGGTGGAGCAGAATCCATTATTAGGGTTTGGTGCTATAGCTATTGCGGTATTGTGCTCAGGATTTGCAGGTAAGTCATGAAAGCATTGTTTGATACTGCTGTCAAGTTTTTAAACATTGAACTATAAGAAAATGGATTGAATATTCATGGTTTATCCCAATAATTTTTCTCCCATTAAGGCTTTAACTTCTTACACTGTTTTGTGTCAGCTCTTTTTCCCCCCAGTTAAATATGACTATTTAACCCAGTTCAGATCTCAGAATTATTCAGAATTGCAATTATCTAAGCATATACTTGTCATCCTTGACCAGCTCAGTCAGCTAAGAACTAAAAGTAAATTAGAAGACCTGAATATGAATTAGCTTTCAGTACTGTCCATTTTCCTGGAAGTGGCACTATCAATCATCAAGCTTGCCTCTGCTGCTGCAGTAATGTTACCAGCCCAGAGTCTCTTTTGTCTTAAAACCTCAAGTTCTCTTTCTTCAACAAACGAGGAGCTATGGAATAGAAAGAAAATGTAGGTGAAGGGTGCCTTAGCAAACATAACATGAAAGAGGAGAAGCCAAAAACAAAGCAGGGAAGTCTGGAGTCAAAGAAAGAGACAATCACTCCTCCCATGAGTTGAGAAAAGATAAAGTATATGAGTGTTTAGTGACGTGAGAAAAGAAGTGTGCTGTAGAAAGAGGCCCAACAGCTGTGAAACTCAGGAGCTCTTTTTAGTAAAGAATAGATTAGTTATCTTGAATAGCTTCATTTGTACCTATTTCAACAGTGACAACTATTTTTATTTTTTGACTAGGAAAGCAGGAAGGACATAGAAATGCTGCATCTTATTTACAGCAATATTCTATGAGGAGAAAAGTTAAATTTAGGAATATACTTAATTAACAATAGTACAATGCTAAACTTTTAGTCTTAGGAATTAAATTATGAGCAAAAATGGAATCACTCAAAATACTGTATTTTTTTGATTTTTAATAATGTCTTTGAATAATTAAATGCTTAGGTCCAAAATAGTATTTAGCTCAACCTCTAATTCACAACTGAGGAAATATAAGGTAGTTTAATATTCTTCTAGGCTTAAAATAAGAAAGCACTGAATAGTTAAATGTTTTCTACACATGGAATCTAACATGTAAATAAGAACAAGCATTTTGTTGCATTTTGTTGTTCCCATTCTGTCTCTTTCCAACACAGTCTCATCAGAAATAATCATTTTTGCCAGGCAGTGGGATTCACACCTTTAATCTCAGAACTCAGGAGGCAGAGGTAGGCAGATATCTGAATATGAGGCCAACCTGGTCAACTTAGTGAGTTCCAGGCCAGTCAGGGCTACATAGCAAGACCCTGCCTCAAAACCAAAAACAAACAAAACAAAACAACACCCCCAAATTAAAAAAAAAAAAATCTTAACTTTAATTAGACCTTTTAGTTGATGAGTAACAGCTCTTAAGTCTCTAGCCAACACAGTATCTGTAATAAAACTGCCAGTGTTCAACATGCATTCATCTAGATAATAACACCTGAAATAGTGGTAGTGTATGAGTTTTAGCAGCAAGAAAGTCCTTTACCCTTTCAAGTCTCTCCAGGGAAAACAAAATAAAAACAAACAAAAAACCCCCCCAACAACCATGGGCTGTCAATTCCAGAAAACCACATATAGACAGAATGTAACACCCAGTTAGTAGTTCATGGTCTGTTTGACACTGTATATAGACTTGCTTCAAATAAAATTGGCTTCAGTTAGCAAACTCTATTTAAATCTTATTTTAGTTGTAGCATTAAAAAGATTCCAAATGGTGATTATAGTTATTTTGCAAAATTAGGCATATTCATCCTTATGTATACATGAAAGGGATTAGGATAATTCAGTCTAATAGTATAGTTTTTCAGATGATCACAGCAATTTTTTTACTGGCATTAAGTGGTACAGAGAGCTTTGGTGATCTAAAAGGAAAAACTTTCTCAATAATTTAACAACTTCTTGTCAAATGTAGCTTATGAAGTTTCCTCATTATTAATTCATATGCTTTGTAAAAATGCAAATTGGTAATGTTCAGTATATTGTGTCATAAAAATTATATAGTAAATGTGTATTTAACTATTATTAAATATACCATTCCTCAAATCATGTACTCTAGGGTATGTCCTAAACAAAAGACATTTTCAGTTAATCCATAATGTCTTTAATATTTCCATGTCCAACTTTTTTCTTCCAGGAGTTTATTTTGAAAAAGTTTTAAAGAGTTCGGATACTTCCCTTTGGGTGAGAAACATTCAAATGTATCTATCAGGGATCATTGTGACACTAGTTGGTACCTACCTGTCAGATGGAGCCGACATTAAAGAAAAGGGATTTTTCTATGGTTACACATATTATGTCTGGTTCGTTATCTGTAAGTATGAAAAGTTCTGAGTAGATTCTGTTTTGCCTTTAAAAAATGCTGTTTTATGTCTTTATAGCATTTTGGAATTAGTTCTCTGATACTATAAATACCACTTTGAAAAATGTAATTTTGTTTTCATTGACTTGCATTTGTGGCACAGCTATCCCAAAGCAATATTGCCTTTACCATCAAAAGAAGTTAGTAAATGTGTATAAATTTACCAATAGATCACATAGTCTTTTGGGCATCTGAGAAACAATGTTATAATAGGAACTACTATTCAATTTCAGTATATTTTCTGCTTCTAAAGAAAAAAAATAGTGTTTTCCTTTTTTCTAGGTAAATGAGTATGTCATTTCTGGGAATGAAAATTTTCTCACCATTATGGAATGTTTTCTTTACCTGATAATTATTAAGATTTTTTTTTTTTTTCCCTGTATCCCCAGTCCTTGCAAGTGTTGGCGGCCTCTATACCTCTGTTGTGGTCAAGTACACAGACAACATCATGAAAGGCTTCTCTGCAGCAGCAGCCATTGTCCTTTCTACCATTGCTTCAGTGCTACTTTTTGGATTACAGATAAGTATGTCCTAGTTTATAGTAGGTTAACATGGAAGAGTCCATCACTTCCATGACTCATTAAGTATTCCTAATTTTGTGGCAATTTATTTTATAAGTCCAGCAGTTTGCAGCTGTGTGAAAGGTGAATAAAGAGCACTTTGGTGTCCTGACTTAAGCTTGAAGAGTGCTGGTTATAGGTGAAAAAGAGCCTTTTGGCTATCAGGCCTTGTTCCTGAAGTATTAATGTCCTGTTTGTTTCTTCATTGCTGTGACAAAATGCTCTGACCAGTACCAACTTAGGGAGGAAAGGGTTTATTTGGGTCGCAGTTCATCAGGGAGCCTAAGGTAAGAACTCAGAACAGGAACCTGGAGGCAAAAGAAGCACAGGCCATGGAGGAATGCTGCTTACTGGCTTGCTCCCCTGGCCCCTGCTCAACCTGCTTTCTTATACAACATAGGCCCACCTACCCAGGGGTGGTACCACCCACAGTGGGCTGGACCCTCCCACATCACTCATTAATCAAGATGATGTCCCACAGACATGGCCACAGGCCAGTCCAATGGAGACAATACTCCAACTGAGACTCCTTCAACCCAGGTGTGTCAAGTTGACAGTAAAGCTATCCAGCACAATTAGATACAAGATGAGTTGGGTGTGCCAGGGTGCACAGTTGGCCACGTGTAACTATGGGTTCTGCATCTGTGGATTCAACAATGGTTAGAAAATATTAGGAGGAAAAAAAACCTGAAGGGAAAGCTGGCTGTGGTCTAACACACACATTCTGTAATAAGCAGTAGCCTTGAATAAGTTCCTAGAAGTGAGTTTTCAGGGCTTAAAATGTACTTTTGGGGGATTAAAAAAGTACATACCTATAAACTGATTTCTAGAAGGATTGAGGGTATTGTTTGATATCCTAGCAGCTGTGAATGAGGAATCTTAGTTCCCTGAATTCTTACCAACATTGGATCTTACTGTACTTAAGAAAACTTGCTAACCTGATAAAGATATTTGCCTTATATTTATTTTTCCATGATTGTTAAAGAGGGTGAACACTGATTTATGTCAGCTCTTTACATATTATATTAAATGTATTATATTAA